GATCTGTAATTTTTTCAATTATTAGCGTATGTTTTTGATGATAATGGAATAATTCTTTTTCACCAATAAGAAGATAGCTGTGATACAATGCGTATTGAACTTCGTTTCCATTAACAGAAGTACTTGACAGGTTTGTGCAAGGTACTAATTCAGTTGCGGGAGAGCTTCAAACTGCAAAAGGAGCAAAGTGATATGATGTGTCATCTCAAAGCTGCCGTTGGACGAGAGCATGAGGAAAGCAATGAATGAGCCAAGGGAAAAATTCACCCTTGTGTATGGTTTACATAATTGTGCTCAAATAGACCTGACCATTGAATTTGGAAACTAGCCGGGCAATAATTGGCGTATGAATTTCTCCTCCATATAAGTTTGGTTCTAATATTGAGATTCTTTTAATTTCAACCCAGAAAGATCCCCCACAAATATTCGCTCCAATTACGGCACTTGTGATGCTAATGATTGTACATCTAAATCTTAACTGAAAGACTGCTTTCTGGAACTAGTACGCTGGAATTGCTTACTTTTTAGAGGGTTAGAGTGAGTCCCCCACTAGCCCTCTTAAAACCCTTTTGATGTGATGGTCTATGTGCGGGAAGCTAGTTGATTCTACTATCTCTTTGCTATTGAGTTTGTGAGCCTAACACACGAATTGATTGATGGTATCATATCTTGTGATCAGTATCAAATTTCTGCGGGAGTCCGGCAAAAAAATCATGTTTGTCCTTATGATTTCTTCGGATGGGTATTTTTTTTTTTTTTTTTTTTTTTTTTATGGGTTTTTTTTTTTTTTTTTTTTTTGTGATGATTGATTTGCAGTGAACAGTTAGACGAGCTTTATACCTTTTGTCAGTTTGTGTTCTGTCGTCTCTTATCATTTTACTCTGTCCCAGGTTATGATAAAGGTTATATTAGTCGGTCCATAGCTAAACGTACAACTCAGTCGAATCTACGTGATACGCAACATAAAAAGCTGGTCGAGCTGCCGTCTCCCATTCAAGTTTTTTTTTTTCTCTAGACAAAAACCTAGCTTGAACTTGTGAATGCACGACACCGCGAGGACCCAATTCTAGTTCTTTACCGTTCTCAGTAGAAGTTCAGATAGGACTCGTACGGTTAGATAATAACGCAGAGGCCAACCGTATCAGGGCCGCATACGCGGATACTTCGGGTGTATTACAGCACACCACAATGGATGCCAACTGTGTGGGACCCGGCAACACGCAGGGCTCTCCTCTGCGCCGCTACAGTCCCTGCGCTTGTTCTTATATATATATGCAAGAGGCTCGAAATCTGTGACAGCTAATAAAAAAGAGTTGATACAACAAACATTTGTTTCGGACTTTACACCCGTTGTTGCTGACATCCCCCAAGCAAAACCCATTACCTTACAAATATAGCTGTCTCCCAATACGCTCATAATCAACGAGAGAGAGGAGCTGAGAGAGAGAGATAAGTAAGGACAAGATCAACTTTACAATTCTTTTTTCACAAATAAAAAAAAAATTTTTTGAATAAAAAAGGTGGATGAAAATATATATTACAATTACATACACAAGCCAACAAACCCAAAAAAAAAAAAAAAAAAAAAAAAAAAAAAGGGAAAATAGAAAAAAGGGAGGGGGTGGGGGAGCAGAGTCTTGTCTCATTCTACGCTCTGTTAAAAAACCCAAAAAAAAAAAAAAAAAAAAATAGAAAAAAGGGAGGGGGTGGGGGAGCAGAGTCTTGTCTCATTCTACGCTCTGTTAACGGTATTTTCAGATCATTCTTTTCTCCCAACTTGACAACCAAACAGCTAGCAGTTAGTAGTGACAAACATTAAGGTAGGGGGGGTGTTTTCAATTAGTCATAGTTAAAAAATTAATCCTGGTGGCGGTGATTTCCTCCGTCATGAAAACCGTCCCGTTCTTTCGGATTCGGGTGACGAACGGAAGATAACGGGTGCACCGTACTTCGGGTATAGGAGCATCAGGACGGTCGGCGCATGAACGTACGACGGAGATAAACGGAAGGAGAACCGCTGGAGTAGGATGGCTATAGTGAGCTTTGTTTCCAAGAGTGGCAGGTGTTGGCGCTATCTGCTAGACGGTCCCGGTAGCCGAACGGATGTAACGGGTCGGGCAGCGGGCGCCCGGGCGACTTACGTTCATGCGATACCTGTGGTCTCGGGGTGTATTGGTGTATTGTCATCGGCCGCACATATCGGGTTCGTGATGATGCCTGATCGGTATAAAATCGTTCACACGGAATCTGGTATCCGCCGAGCTTCTCACTGGAGCTTTCGCCCCTTTCCTTATTCGTTGGCTACATGGCAGGTAGGGTACAGCCGTAACGTTTCGTTCAATATCATTCCCAACTGCCAGACACACATGTCAAAATTTTTACGGCAATTGCCACTAACGGGTAACGGGTTGAAGTGGTTTCGGACCGGTACAGTGCCTTACCGTTTTGAGCTTGGAGAGCTGGTCCTTGGATGGGACGTCACGTGACCCGCACACCTGGAGGACCTCGTCGCGTGCCTGCTCTTGCCACTCCGGGTGCATGGCTAGGAGCACGGTGGTCCACGTCAGCAGGTTGGAGGTCGTCTGCTTACCCGCGAAGAAGAACGTCTTGCACTCCTCCACGATGTCTCGCA